AAATTATTAAATAACCCCAGTCACTATTCTAGTCCATGTGTATTAAATGGCTTTACATAAATACAAATCACTACAAGTGTCTCAACTAGACTTCACTATAATATATCTTGAATAAACGATGAACTAAACAATTATAAATTCTGAATCTCTACTTAGTGCTTCAGCACTCTCATAATATATCATCAAAGTATTTAACAATATCTTCACTATCATCATTGTTCTTCATATCAAATCAAATGTACATATTAAACCAGCATGGACTTGCATGTCTTACACTACATACTAACATCAACATATCTCAGTATGAAGTACAAAATACACACACTAATTTACACTTTATGTTTCAACAATTCATAAAAATAGATTCAATATACAACAAAACTAACCTCTTTGCCTGACATAATGACAATCTTAAGACTGAAATCCCCATGATGCGCTGACAAAAAGGGGATCCTTAGACCTCAACACAACCATGTTCTTGTAGCCTTCTGAGTGTTTGATATCAAGTGGTTATCAATAGGTGGCGCTATATTAGGCACCTTGCCTGAGGAAGTGCTATTACAAATATATGTGTGTTCATGTCATGCATCAATAATACAAAAACAAACGACTTGGGTGATAACTTAATTAAGTGCAACTGTCACAACAATAGTATCAATGGAGTGTATGACATGCATAAACAACATAATGGCAAGATATAGGTGAAGAGTGTAGCGTTGAAATATTAGACTGCATATATACATATATATATATATATATATATATATATATATATATATACATACATACATATATATATTTACTTTGTTACAAGTACATGCATTTATACAACACAGCCTATACATACATACATGTATGTTTACATAATTTATTTGTTCTATTATATATTGTAATACTGTATGGTTTAGATATATCATTTTAATTTTTGGATATTTTAGTGAAAAAATGAATCAAATCAAATCAAATGTGTTTTCAGTTGTTTATTTTTTTTCTGCCAATTTCTCTTGCCCTTCAGCAGTTTTTGCCAAGTTCCAGTTCTATCTTCCATTGTCTTGCTCCCCATTTTCTCTTTGTATATATCTCTCTCTCTCTTTTTCCCTTTCTATCTCCCCTCCCCCTCTGTCCAGTCTTGTTCTCTCTCTCTCTCTCTCTCTCTCTCTCTTCATATCCCCTCCCCTGTCCAATCTTGTCGTCTTTCTTTCTATTTCTCCTCCCTCATTTTATCTTTATCTTCTTTTCTATCTCGCTCTCTCTCTCTCTCTTTCCATCTCCCCTCCCCTCCGTCCAATCTTGTTCTCTCTCTCCCTCTCTCTTTCTCTGTACATCTCCCCTCCCCTCTGTCCAATCTTGTTCACTCTCTCTCTCTCTATTTCTCCTCCCTCATATTCGCTTTATCTTCTTTTCTATCTCTCTCTCTCTTTCCATCTCCCCTCCCCCTCCGTCCAATCTTGTTCTCTCTCTCCCTCTCTCTCTTTCTATGTACATCTCCCCTCCCCTCTGTTCGATCTTGTTCACTCTCTCTCTTTTTCTCCTCCCTCATATTCTCTTTATCTTCTTTTCTATCTCGCTATCTCTCTCTCTCTTTCCATCTCCCCTCCCCCTCCGTCCAATCTTGTTCTCTCTCTCCCTCTCTCTCTTTCTATGTACATCTCCCCTCCCCTCTGTTCGGTCTTGTTCACTCTCTCTCTCTCTTTTTCCTCCTCCCTCATATTCTCTTTATCTTCTTTTCTATCTCGCTATCTCTCTCTCTCTTTCCATCTCCCCTCCCCCTCCGTCCAATCTTGTTCTCTCTCTCCCTCTCTCCTTTTCTCTGTACATCTCTCCTCCCCTCTGTTCGGTCTTGTTCACTCTCTCTCATTTCTTCTCCCTCATATTCTCTTTATCTTCTTTTCTATCTCGCTATCTTCTTCGTCTATCAGCTGTGTGCAAAGAATCTCTTCCATCTGTAAACTGTTTTATTTCACTTATTATTGTCTTCCCTTTCTTCAATCATTAATTGAAAACTCAATGAAATATACCACCTTATAATTGTTATCTGTAATTTTATTAACAAAAACTGCACAAAATGCCACTTTCTTATATAAAAAAGACACACGCATTTGACATGTACATGACCAGTTTCACCATTCTGTATTCTTAAAGACAACTCTAAAATCACGATCAATTGGGCAAAAAGAATTTCCGTTTCGGTTTAATAAAATTTGGAGTGGACTATTAGGCTATTATTATTATATTATATTATTATTATTATTATTATAGGAAGCAGAAGCAGACTTGTGAAGGTTTGGACGAAATCTGACAAAATGTAACAAGTATTAATTATTTAAAAGTTGCAATCACTATACGTACATAATGTAGTACCAACACCAAAAATTACATTTCCCCCATTCAATATGGTCTTTTTTAAAAGGACCTATAATGATATATAAAAACATATTTGATATTTTTGTACACAACAAACAGGATAGTTATCCGTCACTACTTGCCAATGTGAGATTCGCATAGCTGTGTTCTTATATTTCAATCATTAAAAACATATTTATTCTTGATCCGATATATTTTAAACTTTTACCCTTCTGTTTCTCAGATTTTTAAATTCTATTATAGGTCTATTTCTATTCATAGTGCCCCTCCAAAAAATGAAATAATTAAACAACAACAACAGCAACAGATCAAAATTAATAAATCAAAAATAACAAAAGAAAACAGAACAAAAACAAGATAAATCAAAAGAAAAGAGTCGAGATGGTCATAATTTTGGGGAAAGGATCTTCTAATCATGTTGTTGTGACATCACAATAAAATTCTCAGAAGTATATTAACTAGTAAGTACATAATTTTTTTATATCAACAAGATATGAGCAAAGATGAGCAAGATTTTCAGATATCATAAGAATATGAATATTTTACCCTGTATCCAAACATTCAAGAACTATATACAATGAGGTTACACCTTATTATTGTTATACCATGCTCAACTTAATGCAATTAATGAATGTTGAACTATCTTCTTTAGGTTATTCATTCCCATAGTTACAAGTCATTTTTCGGTGTCGTTGTTGAAAATAAGTGTGTCTTTGTTTAAAAGGATAGACTATTAGAGCACATGACCATTGACGCCCTTATTACATGCATGGTTTGAAATATTATCTTTGAATTAATGTACCGGGTAGACCAATGCTTAACCATAGTGGTCGTGAAATTGTAAGAGATCGATGTATCTTAGAAATAAAGCTGTTTATTAATGTATTTCAATTAATGGACGTCTCTCCCCAACCAGGCCTGTTGCCAGTCATTTTATGAAAAATGGCATCTATAGGGCTGGAATCCACTTCACATACATTGGTTGTTGCAAAGTTGGACAAGCCTCTGACAAGTTTTTAAGTTGACACTATAAGAAATTTTATTTAAAAAAGTTGCATGGAATCAGTTAACAGGTCTTCTATAGCAAATAACAGATAATCTGATATTTGAATAAGATTTACAACGAACATACAGGTCACATCAAAATTGTAACTGGTAATTTGTTTCATCATACAAGCTGAACAATATTTAATACCCAATTTTGTAGTCAATGCATCAACAACATATTGATTAATAGATCGAAAATGAAATGCCCGCCAAAGAAGTATAAATCGAGGATTTACTCGGGGGTAACCTCGATCACCATGTTGCTATTTGTTAGCTCCATTTACCAAAATAATATGTATTTACAGTGTACTGACTAAAATGAATATATATAAATAAGCGATTTGGAGATAAATTCCAACTTGAAGTATCTATAAATGATATAACATTAGAATCGTACTTGAGAGACATTTAACTCGTAGAATATATAAATAAAGCTGACCCTATTGCACATTGAAACCTAAATTGCACATGTTATATTTCTTCATTAACATGTACCTGTTGGAAATGCACTTGTAAACATATTACATATGAAAGACTAGCTTATTGCACATATAAAGCATCAATATGTCTATCTGGTTCCGTTTATACTCAGAAACATGGTGGATCGGAAACATGTGATAACCCAGTCCCTCCTAAAACCACAATAGAGATCTTTCGATTCCTGATTACTCCTAAGCTTTGCATAGGCCTCTCAAAGGTATCTGGTAATTTGATATCGCATACGCTACAAAGTAGAATGAAATTATGAACATAATTATGTTAATTTCCTATATATTTTGCATCATGAAGGTCCAATGCAAGCTTCTAGGAGGCCTATCTACCCCTAAGAAAGTGGTAAGTGGTCGTTTGTGTGGGGGACGTTTACAATAAAATCTTTACAAATCAGGAAAGGGTTGACCTTGCTACAGCCCCTTGAGATATGAGCGGATTAGAAAATTCCCACCATCTTGGATCTTGGATCCATCTCAGGATGAAGTTGTGTATGAGTTTATGGACTTTGCTGGTGTCGTGGTTGAGGATTACGGGGCGTATATACTGTATTATGGTGAGTGTTTGGTTGTAATGGATCACGTGATGCTTGGGGCAATCTGTAGGAAGGTATGAATTCTGAAAAGTGCGGTTGCCTTGGACGATGCAGAGCGTCTGTTCGATGAAACGATGGCTGGGAGGCTGGTGGTAAAGACGCTACTGTCGACGTTTCTGACAGCATTGTGGGTTGTTGGCTCATATGTATCATTGGTCGTTGAGGATTGATGGTATGCCGTTGATCATCATAATATGATGAATGTGTTGTCGAAAAGTACCGAGGCTGCTCTGTCATTAAGAGAGGCTGTGGTAGGCGGTGCTGTGCTGTTTGGGAGTATGGGTGGACTTGTAGTTCACCCAAACATCGTGCGAGCTGATTTGGCTGTTCACTTTGTTGTGAGCCGGACAGGTGGGTGAGTTGATTTTGTGTTTCTCTCTGTGGTGGAGCCCGAGCAAAATACAGTTGTTGATGCGAATTTTCTATGAGCTCTTGGCTCTGTGACATGATGGGTTGATGCTGCTGACGCGATTGTTGAAATGGCAGAAATGGTTCGCCCACTCTGTTATGGTCTGGATGCTGCCATGCTTCCTGTGAGACAGGTGTCTGTGAGACAGGTGTCTGTGAAAATGGCAGGTGATGCGGAACGTGTGTTTGATGTTGCTGGTTGTGATGGTAGGTGATGGCTGGTGGCAGGGATGTTCCTGACGTAGCTGATTGGCGGGCATGCCGGGTTGTTGGTGTCATTCCTTGATGTGGGTTGATCATTTGTGATGAACGTGCTGTCTGAACATCTCCAAGTGACTGATATTGCTGTGGATGGTGTGAAGATTGCCAGAGTGGTGGATAGTCTTGCGGTCCTGTTGGTAACAAATAACCAGGATTTGACAATCTATATTGCCCTGCGCTATACAGTGCCTGTGGACGTAACTGATATGGATAGACATATGTCCGAAAATGCGTATAATATTGCTGATGTGGCTGTTCAAATTGAGATAGTAGTCTTCCTTGGAGATTCGTCATCTGCAATGGTGCAAGAGGGCCCTGGAGGACCAATCGTGATCTATGTTCATTGTACCCAGTTGTCCTTGTCAAGAGGTTTGAGAAGAAAGGATTCTGGAATTTAAGGGAGCAAAATATAAGACAAAAACTCAAACGAAAATGGGATATCCTGCGAATTATGCAAAGAACCTTTTCTTTTTTTTTAATTTTGATTTCTGAAATAATCCCTTGTCAGATATTGTATTTAGTACCGCTAAATATATTGATAGTGGGATGTTTTCATGACGGAGCGGAGGTGGGGGGGGGGGGGAGAGTGGGAGGTTTGTGAGCTTACAACCCTTCACCAAATATGTCTGGAATCCGTCATTCAAAAAGATGAGAAACTTTTCATTGACATTGTAAGAGGTATGCTTTCACATACTGAAGTATAAGCTAGACGAGCAATATCATAATAAAAATCATTATGACATGCTGTTGTGATATTCTTATTTAGATAGTAACTTTTATTCACAACTTTCCATCATTCTGTTCGGCTGTCAATCCTTTTAAATAATACAGATAATCAATGAAACATTTTTTTTTAAATGCAACTTGATCGAAAGAGCGACGGTCATATTTCAGAGTCTTCAAGTTTTATTTGAAGGATTTTTCTAGAGATCAAGGTATGGATACCCTACTTGAGCTGTGAAAGGCGTTCCTCCACCCACATCCCCTTCATTGGATCGCCGACAACGCTTGTTGTTGTTGGCGGAACATGGGCGAAATAAATAACATTTGTTTATCATATGTTACCTTACCTTTGAGGAAGAAGCAAGAAGGGCAAGCTCAAGGTAGAAATCATCATGTAGCAGTAGTTTACTATCGTCCTTCACCGTCAGGTTAGTGAGACAAGGCAGAAAACAAAGAAAATTGGCTAGGTCACACGATACCATTCGATCATTTTTCTTCAGGTAGCAGTCTATGTAGAGCTTTTCAATCTGTTTAGAAATTAGAGATAGTAAAATATAGATATAATGACTGCTATGAGAGGAATAGTTGTTTATCGGCTCACGGGGATTTTGCATCCTGATATCAAGATAACAAGATAGCAAGATGCAACATCCCTGAGAGCCCATAAAATAACTATTCCTCGAATATTAAAGCAGTCATTATATCTTTTATATACCGTAAAAAAGGTCATAGAATACATGTGCGACTTACCAATTATGGTAATCAAGTTTGTTTACGCTATCGAGGTCTGTGTTGATAACTTGCAGGTAGACCTAGTTTTCAAATATTTTTACAGAGAATTTCACGGAACTTTTGGGCCCGAATTCACAAAAGAGGTTTGTCGACAAACCTTGGTTTTCGTACATCATATGACGCGTTTTTTACAAACCTGGTTTGTAAAGAACAAAAGGAGGTTTGTCGACAAACCTCCGTTGTGAATTCGTGCCAGTGTGTTCTTGCTGTCTGTAAAATCAATCAAGTCTTGTAATTGATCAGCATCCAGAAGTTCAAATCTAGGAAGAGTCTCTTCAGCACTTTTTTTTTAAACCTTCTTTGGACATAAAATATAGTTTAGAAACTAAATAATCGGAGATTACAATGTAGGCCTACAATCGAGATAAAATATAGCGACCAAATTAATCGCACAAAAACTGTATGGTAGCCGCGCTGCGCACAAACTAAGTTTTAACAAGTAAACCAATGGGGATCGCAACTATTTTCGTGGTTCCCGGAATCTTGCGGGAATATCACTCATGAATCATTGACCAATACTGGCATTGTTCGTCTCTTTACGGGAGAGTGGTTAAAACCACGACTGCAATTTCGACCAATCAGATTGCTAGATTTCTAAAGGGAGGTCAACTCTTAAAACTACCAATACAAAAATATTGGTGTAACAATATAGCACATGATTTACGTTGGAACCTCCACTGCCAGCAAATCCACCACAAAGCCATGCAATCGCACACTGAGATTTCTTAAGACTTTATCACCCTGCTCCAAAGAAATAAAGAACAGAGCCTACAGAGCCCTAATTGTGCGACAGATGGAATACTGTGCTGAGGTCTGGAACGTACTCGGCCTCACACAACCATCTGTATTTGACTTTACATAGTTATTTCGTGTGAAACAGTTTCAATAATAAACTAGATGGAATTTTGACTGCGCGCAGTCGAAAATGATGCCTCCGCCATAGAGCAATTTAAACAAGTTTGGAGTTTAAATCTCCAGTGGTTCTTGAGATATCATGATAACAATCTCAAGGTATGGAATTTCATAAGTTGACCTCTGTGACCCTTGAACTTTGACCTACGTGCTCCAAAATCTAATCAGATTGTCTTCCTATGGTGATACACACTATCATTAAGTTTGAAGTTTAAATCTCCAGTGGTTCTTGAGATATTATGATATGGTGATACATGCTATCATTAAGTTTGAAGTGAAAATTCTCCAGTGGTTCTTGAGATATCGCGATAACGATCTCAATGTATGGAATTTCATAAGTTGACCTCTGTGACCCTTGACCTTTGACCTACGTGCTCCAAAATCTAATCAGATTGTCTTCCTATGGTGATACACACTATCATTAAGTTTGAAGTTTAAATCTCCAGTGGTTCTTGAGATATTATGATAACAATCTCAATGTATGGAATTTCATGAGTTGACCTCTGTGACCCGTGACCTTTGACCTACGTGCTCCAAAATCTAATCAGATCGTCTTCCTATGGTGATACATACTATCCTTAAGTTTGAAGTTTTTACATCTCCAGTGGTTCTTGAGATATCATGATAACAATCTCAATGTATGGAATTTCATAAGTTGACCTCTATGACCCTTGACCTTTGACCTACGTGCTCCAAAATCTAATCAGATTGTTTTCCTATAGTGATACACACTATCACTAAGTTTGAAGTTTAAATCTCCAGTGGTTCTTGAGATATCATGATAACAATCTCAATGTATGGAATTTCATAAGTTGACCTCTGTGACCCGTGACCTTTGACCTACGTGCTCCAAAATCTAATCAGATCGTCTTCCTATGGTGATACATACTATCCTTAAGTTTGAAGTTTTTACATCTCCAGTGGTTCTTGAGATATCATGATAACAATCTCAATGTATGGAATTTCATAAGTTGACCTCTATGACCCTTGACCTTTGACCTACGTGCTCCAAAATGTAATCAGATCGTCTTCCTATGGTGATACATACTATCCTTAAGTTTGAAGTTTAAATCTCAAATGGTTCTTGAGATATCGCGCTAACAAACTCAATACAAGGAATTTCATAAGTTGACCTCTGTGACCTGTGACCTTTGACCTACGTACTCCAAAATCTAATCAGATCGTCTTCCTATGGTGATAAATACTATTCCCGAGTCTTAAGTTTAAATCTTAAATGGTTCTTGAGATATTGTGATAACGGTCAAACGGGACGGACGTACGGACGGACGTACGGACGGACAACCCGAAAACATGATGCCTCCGGCACCACCTTCGGTGGCGGAGGCATAAAAATAGTTCAAGAAACCTAAAAGTACGAAAAACGGATAGTTTTGCTTTTCCATCCCTTTTTTTAACACACCCTTTCGGCAAAAAAAGGGGGGGGGGGTGGGGCTTTGACAAAAGGTCGCGTTCCAGTCAACGCCACGCGACGCGACACTCCCAACGCACCCTTTCGGCAAATTCGGAGGGGGGGGGGAGGGGGCTTTGGACGGATGGTCGCTTTCAAATCAACGCGACGCTACCCACCCTTTCGGCATAAGCCATGTAACTTTATATAATAACATCGTTTTTGTGATTAAGAAAAGTGAGAAATACAGTTTAAAGGTACTACTGTCCAATTTGCAGGCCCAAAAAAATAAAAAGGTAAAACTCCAACGGCATTTGAAAGATAATACTAATTTAGAACTTCCCTAAAAAAAGGGGGGGGGGGCTTGAAAATGTCTTTAAGTAGGAAAATACGGCTATAAGTTGTCAAATCGACTTAAGACCTATAGAACCAGTAAGTAGTGGTCTGATTTTCAGACCATTGTACCGAGTGGTCGTATATGTTTTATGCTGCGCAAAGATTCATTCAGTTTAATTTTGGCCATTACAAGAAGTGGGTTATTGATGTAAACAAATGCTCATGTACCCTTTACAGCTCAGTTTATGTATGTTATTACCAAAGAAGAAAAAAGCCAGTCAGTCACTCAATAGTGTATGACAGTGAAGTCTAGCAAGTAAACAAGTTTCCTTGCATAATTTAAATATAAGGAGACTGCCAACGTTTAAATTTCACAGATAGGACATACATGACCTATTCATAATTCCTGCAAAGTTCTATTGAATTTGGTGTTGGCTTCAAAAGGGACATAGTATTTTAAGACCCTCAAATTCAACCGTGTTTTTCTTCTGCATTTTGTTTAATGTGTAGACTTGTACGAAAATGTTCTTGCTAGAAACTGCATTTAGAAGCAGATGACACAGTTACTTTTAACATTGAGCCCCCGTCCCCAACCGGTTACCCCCACCCCCCTCAGGAACCCAAATGGGACCACTGGGAACTGTCATGAACACCTTTTATTCTTCACCTAAGAAGGTATCTACATACCTTGACAGTTGTACTGCTAAATCTGGAGAAGATGTTTGAAATCTACAACTTTGGATCCCCTATCCCTAAGAATGATTTCTGTCAAGTTTAATTAAAATCTGACCATGCGTTTTTAGGAAGAAGATGAAAGTGTAAAAGGTTTCCGGACGACGGACGGGAACGGTGGCAATAGCTCAACTTGAGCTAAAAAAAAAAAATCATAATTATGGTAGTATTTGGGTCAAAAATAAGGCAAGAAGGAGCAACAGAAGTGAAGATTTGATTTGTTTGTTGAGGCTTGAAAGACGTACTGTGTGATTCATGGCCTTGGCGTACAAGCCAGGGGAGGGAGTAGTCCCTTCCCCCCTTTCCCCACCTCCCCTCGGCAATAATCGGGCAAAAAGTCACAATTTTGGGTCGAAAGGTAAATAAAAGTTAAAGAAAGAAGAAAATAAAGCAGCGCTGAAATAATGACTGCAGAGAATACTTCGTTATTATTTTTTGGATAAGCCCAATATACAACCATTACCGATATCCAACATGTAACATGCTTTTGTTTTGATATTTTTACCTCTGACATTTTTACCACTGACATATTTACATCTGACATTTTTACCTCTGACATTTTTACCTCTGACATTTTTACCTTTGACAATTTTACCTCTGTCATTTTTACCTCTGACATTTTTACACCGAGCCGAGCTAGCTGCAAAAGGGATTAATGGAAATCATCATGAGATGCTGTTGTGATAATCTCGATTAGATTACAACCCTTAATACTAATAATAATAGGAATTTCTATAGCGCCGTCTATCTAAAAATTCTATTCCGAGGCGCATTAATGTTGTTGTTGTTGTTGTTTTAGTTTTAAGGGCGTGTGTCATTCAATTGTGAATATTTAGCACCCCGCCTTTAGCCTTGCTGCCATTAGCATTTCAAGGAATTAATTATTGCCTGGTACCCATGCATTTACCTCACCTGGATCGAGTGTGGCAAATAAAGATTAATGGATTGCCAAAGGACATTAATGCCATGTCGGGGATCTAACTACGACCTTTGCATTTCAAGTCAAGTGCCTAAACCACTCGACTACGACACTCCTACACACCTTCTCTATCTGTTGAGATGCCATTTATGGCGACAACAAAAAAGAAGACACAAAATTTGAGAACTATCAATTTTAAACGATAGGGAATACCATGGAGCAGGGAGGTGAAAGAAAGGAGTCGAAACTCTTGTAATTTATTCAAACGCATTCATGAGTTCTAAAGCGTAACAATGGGATTTTTGGCTTTGTTTCACATTTATTACAAAATATTAAATTACCGGCAAAATTTCAGTGTAAATTATAAACTTTATAGTGGGATTATATCGAGAATAGTGCATCACACAATTTTTCAAATTTAGGACTCTGCCCTTCCTTTAATTTGTGTCCCAGAGTTGGTAAAAGAAAAATTAGATCCTGACAAAGACTCAATATTTAGGATGATGCGCTAATTTGTGCAAGTTGTAACGTCCCGTTATGTAATCCATGATTTACAGTCTTCAAAAACTTTAAATTTGCTAATTCGTGTTTTCGCGTGCTTTTTGATTTTTTTCAGTTGAAAAAAAAAGATGAAATGACACAAGTTTATCTTCGCTTGATCTAATATTTACACATTCAACAATTAATGAGAAATCATTGAAAGGGACAGCGAACAGTAGCTGTGATTCCGTTGTCTGATGTAGGAATTCTAAATCCTGAAATTTCATGCGCTCTCTTATCTCACCGCTTGGTCAACAGTTGCAGATTGGCGCATAACTTTTCGGCGGCTTGGAGCATGGGGTCAAAGGAGAGCGGCTTGATTGCAGTACTTCTCTATCACGTCCCTGCATGGAGTTACTTAAGCTTTAGTAACTCCATGGGAATACATAATATAATTTTGTTTTTTTCACGATCGTAAGTGTATTAACTACATTGTACATGTAGGTTAAGACGCTATAGAATTAGAACATAATAATGATGTACTAAGTATTGCATTTCCATCTAATTGCGCCTATTATCAAGGTACTTTCTTAATATGTGCTATGTACCGATAAACATAAATTTGACATTTTGAATTTATTTTACTGTAATTAAGCTTTTAGTTCGAAATTCTAAACCGAAAACAGATCAAGGGATGTGGTAGGAGCTGTAATTACTGAACATCACGGTCATTAAGGGTCCATTAATAAAACGAAACAATCATTCACATTATGGTAATAAAACTTCAAATTTCAAATTTTTCTTTACTAGATACGGTTTAACTCATTTTGTTTGTTCGTAAATTGTGGTACAAAGTAGTTTACCGTTTCATTATTTATCATTCTAGTTAACCATAATGGCCAATGTCCCGTATTCCAGGTAAACGTTAAAACACCTTGCAAATCACCTTTGAGGATGAGGCCTGACGAGCGAGTTCGTGGTAGAAATCATCACGAAGGAAAAGATGACTGTATTGATCGTCAGAGTCCTTTATCGTCAGGTCGGTAAGACAAGGCAGGAGACATAGAAACCTGGCTAGGTCACGTGATGCTCTTTGGTCATTCTCGTGTAGATTACAACCCTGAATACACACCTTCTCTATCTGTTGAGATGACATTTATGGCGACAAAAAACAAAAAGAACACACAACATTTGAGAACTATCAATTTTAAGCGACAGGGAATACATAATATACTTTTATTATTTTCATGACCGTCAGTGTATTAATTACATTGTAAGTTAACATGCTATAGAATTAGTACATAATACTGATGTACTATTAAAGTATTGCATGTCCATCAAATTGCCCCTGTTATCAAGGTAATTTTTTTAAAATGTGCTATTTACCGATAAACATAAATTTTACATTTTGAATTTATTTGACTGAACCCTTTAGCTTGAAGTACTAAACCGAGACAAAAAATATCAAGGGATGTGGTAGGAGCTGTAATTACTGAACATCACGGTCATTAAGGGTCGATTAATGAAAAGAAACAATCATTCACATTATTCAATAAAACATCAAATGAATTTTCTTTACTAGATACGGTTTAACTCATTTTGTTTGCTCGTAAATTGTGGTACAAAGTAGTTTACAGTTTCATTATTTATCACTCTAGTTATCCATATGGTCAATGTCCCGTAATTCAGTTAAACGTTATAACACCTTGCAAATCACCTTTGAGGATGAGGCCTGACGAGCAAGTTCGTGGTAGAAATCATCACGAAGGAAAAGATGACTGTATTGATCGTCAGAGTCCTTTATCGTCAGGTCGGTAAGACAAGGCAGGAGACATAGAAACCTGGCTAGGTCACGTGATGCTGTGGGGTCATTCCCACGTAGATTACAACCCTGAATACACACCTTCTCTATCTGTTGAGATGCCATTCATGATAAAAAAAAAAATGAGAACTATCAATTTGAAACGATAGAGAATACATGATATACTTTTTTTCATTTTCATGATCGTAAGTGTATTAATTACATTGTAGGTTAAGACGCTCTAGAATGAAAACATAATAATGATGTACTTAGTATTGCATGTCCATTGAATTGCACCTACTATCAAGGTACCTTTTCTAAATGTGTTATGTACCGATATACATAAATTTCACAATTTGAATCTATTTGACTGTAAGCAAGCTTTTAGCTTGAAGTACTAAACCGAAAAATAGATCAAGGGATGTGGTAGGAGCTGTAATGACTTAACATCACGGTCTTTAAGGGTCGATTATTTAAACGAAACAATCATTCACATTATGTTGTATAATAAAACATCAAATGACTTTTCTTTACTAGATACGCTTTTTCTCATTTTGTTTGCTCGTAAATTGTGGTACAGAGTAGATTACCGTTTCATAATTTATCATTCTAGGTAACCATATGGCCAATGTCCCGTATTCCAGGTAAACGTTAAAACATCTTGCAAATCACCTTTGAGGATGAGGCCTGACGAGCGAGTTCGTGGTAGAAATCATCATGAAGGAAAAGATGACTGCATTGATCGTCAGAGTCCTTTATCGTCAGGTCGGTAAGACAAGGCAGGAGACATAGAAACCTGGCTAGGTCACGTGATGCTCTTTGGTCATTCTCGTGTAGATTACAACCCTGAATACACACCTTCTCTATCTGTTGAGATGACATTTATGGCGACAAAAAACAAAAAGAACACACAACATTTGAGAACTATCAATTTTAAGCGACAGGGAATACATAATATATTTTTATTATTTTCATGACCGTCAGTGTATTAATTACATTGTAAGTTAACATGCTATAGAATTAGTACATAATACTGATGTACTATTAAAGTATTGCATGTCCATCAAATTGCCCCTGTTATCAAGGTAATTTTTTTTAAATGTGCTATTTACCGATAAACATAAATTTTACATTTTGAATTTATTTGACTGAACCCTTTAGCTTGAAGTACTAAACCGAGACAAAAAATATCAAGGGATGTGGTAGGAGCTGTAATTACTGAACATCACGGTCATTAAGGGTCGATTAATGAAAAGAAACAATCATTCACATAATTCAATAAAACATCAAATGAATTTTCTTTACTAGATACGGTTTAACTCATTTTGTTTGCTCGTAAATTGTGGTACAAAGTAGTTTACAGTTTCATTATTTATCACTCTAGTTATCCATATGGTCAATGTCCCGTAATTCAGTTAAACGTTATAACACCTTGCAAATCACCTTTGAGGATGAGGCCTGACGAGCAAGTTCGTGGTAGAAATCATCACGAAGGAAAAGATGACTGTATTGATCGTCAGAGTCCTTTATCGTCAGGTCGGTAAGACAAGGCAGGAGACATAGAAACCTGGCTAGGTCACGTGATGCTGTGGGGTCATTCCCACGTAGATTACAATCCTGAATACGCACCTTCTCTATCTGTTGAGATGCCATTCATGATAAAAAAAAAAAGAGAACTATCAATTTGAAACGATAAAGAATACATGATATACTTTTTTTCATTTTCATGATCGTAAGTGTATTAATTACATTGTAGGTTAAGACGCTCTAGAATGAAAACATAATAATGATGTACTTATAGTATTGCATGTCCATTGAATTGCACCTACTATCAAGGTACCTTCTAAATGTGTTATGTACCGATATACATAAATTTCACAATTTGAATCTATTTGACTGTAAGCAAGCTTTTAGCTTGAAGTACTAAACCGAAAAAACAGATCAAGGGATGTGGTAGGAGCTGTAATGACTTAACATCACGGTCTTTAAGGGTCGATTATTTAAACGAAACAATCATTCACATTATGGTAATAAAACATGAAATGACTTTTCTTTACTAGTTACGGTTTAACTCATTTCGGTTACTCGTAAATTGTGGTACAAAGTAGTTTACAGTTTCATTATTTATCATTCTAGGTAAACATATGGCCAATGTCCCGTATTCCAGGTAAACGTTATACACCTTGCAAATCACCTTTGAGGTTGAGGCATGACGAGCAAGTTCGTGGAAGAAATCATCACGAAGGAAATGATCGTATTGATCGCCTGAGTCCTTTATCGTCAGGTCGGTAAGACAAGGCAGGAGACAAAGAAACCTGGCTAGGTCACGTGATGCTGTTGGATCATTCTCGTCTAGATTACAACCCTGAATACACACCTTCTCTATCTGTTGAGATGCCATTCATGACAAAAAAAAGAGAACTTTCAATTTTAAACGATAGAGAATACATGACATACTTTTATCATTTTCATGATCGTAAGTGTATTAATTACATTGTAGATTAAGACGCTCTAGAATTAGAAAATAATGATGATGTACTTAGTACTGCATGTCCATCGAATTGCGCCTATTATCAAGGTACTCTTTCTTATGTGTTATATACCGATAAACATAAATTTAATTGTTTGAATTTATTTGACTGTAATTAAGCTTTTAGCTTGAAGTCCTAAAGCAAAACACATATCAAGGGATGTGATAGGAACTGTAATGACTGAACATCACGATCATTACGGGTCGATTAATGAAACGAAACAATCATTCACATTATGTAACAAGTCAACGCAAAGCGTAGCATCCCCTCGCAGGGTGCAAATTGCCTATATACATCAAAACATTTGACTATACTAATATATAACTAGGCAAGGAAGTTTCACATATATAATTAGGTGTTTTTGCATATTTCATGAGCTATCTATGACCTTTCACCTTAGACATACAAACTCAGAAATCGAACTTAGGCTGTACATGTATTTTTATACCTTCATATTAAACTTCATTAAAATCCGTCAAACATTACTGAAGTTATCGATCGGAAACCAAATTTGTACGGACTGACGGACGCACCCACTGACGGACGCACGGACAGAAGGACGGACGGCGGCGTTTCTATATCCTCTCCGACTTCGTCGGCGAGGGGATAATAAAACATCAACGGACTTTTCTTTACTAGATACGGTTTAATTCATGTTGTTTGTTAGTAAATTGTGGTACAAAGTAGACAGTTTCATTATTTATCATTCTGGTTATCCATATGGCCAATGTCCCGTGTTTCAGTTAAACGTTATACACTTTGCAAATCACCTTGGAGGATGAGGCCTGGCGAGCGAGTTCGTGGTAGAAATCATCATGAAGGAAAAGAAATTGATCGTCTGAGTCCTTTAGCGTCAGGTCGGTAAGACAAGGCAGGAGACACAGAACCCTTGCTAGGTCACGTGATGCTGTGGGGTCATTCTCGTTTAGATTACAACCGTGAATGCACACCTTCTCTATCTGTTGAGATGCCATTCATGACAAAAAAAAAAAAAAAAAAATGAGAACTATCAATTTTGAACGATAGATAATACAAGATATACGTTTATCATTTTCATGATCGTAAGTGTATTAATTACATTGTAGGTTAAGACAGGCGCGGATCCACGGGCCTAATTCTTTCGGCCCGGCTATGGCAAGCCCTTTGTGTAAAAACTAGATAAACTCTGTTTTTCTCAGATAACCTCTGTTTTTCTCAGATAAACTCTGTTTTTCTCAGATAAACTCAGTTTATCAACAGATAAACACAGTTTATCAGAAAAACTCAGTTTATCAGTTGATAAACCCAGTTTATCAAGAAAAACTCAGTTTATCAACGATAAACTCAGTTTATCAACAGATAAACAGAGTTTATCAAAAAAACTCAGTTCATCAGTTGATAAACTGAGTTTATCATTGATAAACACAGTTTTTCTGATAAACTGAGTTTATCTAGTTTTTACACAAAGGGGTTGCCATAGCCGGGCCGGAAGAATTAGGCCCGTGGATCCGCGCCTGGGTTAAGACGCTATAGAATTAGAAAATAATAATGATGAAGTAATTATTGCATGTCCATCGAATTGCGCCTATCATCAAGGTACTTTTTCTAAGTGTGCTATGTACCGATAAACATAAATTTCACACTTTGAATTAATTTGACTGTAATTAAGCTTTTAGCTTGAAGTCCTAAAGCAAAACACATATCAAGGGATGTGATAGGAACTGTAATGACTGCACATCACGATCGTTACAGGTCGATTAATGAAACGAAACAATCATTCACATTATGTACCGAAGTGTTTATCAATTATTTTGTAACTACTCTGTATTTTGTTTATGTGCTGGCAGTGGAGGCCAATTTTCTATGTTTTGAATATGGACCAATAAAATTATATATCTATTTATTTATCTAATAAAACATCAACGGACTTTTCTTTACTAGATACGGTTTAATTCATGTTATTTGTTAGTAAATTGTGGTACAAAGTAGTTTACAGTTTCATTATTCATCATTTAAGTTAACCATATGGCCAATGTCCTGTATTCCAGGTATTAATGTTATACACCTTGCAAATCACCTTTAAGGATGAGGCCTGACGAGCAAGTTCGTGGTAGAAATCATCACGAAGGAAAAGATCTTCGTATTGATCGTCATAGTCATTTATCGTCAGGTCGGTAAGACAAGGCAGGAGACATAGAATCCTTGCTAGGTCACGTGATGATGTGGGGTCATTCCCACGTAGATTACAACCCTGAATACACACCTTCTCTATCTGTTGAGATGACATTCATATAGGGACAACAAAAAAGAACACACAACATTTGAGAACTATCAATTTTAAACGATAGAGAATACATGATATACTTTTATTATTTTCATGATCGTAGTCTGTACTTGATTGTAGTCTGTACTTGATTGTAGTCTGTACTTTGTTCCAATATGTTATAAATTATAATATGTAATAGGGATACTAGTACTACAGAACAAAATATAGAGGGGGGGGGGGTTATAACAATATTAATTCATTCAATATAATTGAGATTACTGTATTTTGTACTCTGTAATTGGTTTCAATATGTTATATATTACAATTTGTATGAATTAATATTATTTATT